ATATATTACAGAGTGTGTGTGTGTGTGTGTGTGTGTGTGTGTGTGTGTGTGTGTGTGTGTGTGTGTGTGTGTTTCCTCATTGATTTCTACTGCCCTTTGCAGGTTAGAGAGGAGTACTCCAACTTTTTCTCCTGGATCTGTGCGTCAACGCAAAGACACTTTGACTACAGTAGTGCAAATCCATCCAATAGCCAGTCTCAAGTAAGAATCATGTGACCTCTACCAACCCTTAGCACCCTTGAACTCATCATGTCCTAAAAATATTTTGTCTCCATTCTTTTAGGGTTCTCGGAGCGGGCAGAACACTGGGGAATCCCACATTTGAATCATTCTCTGTTTGTAGTCGTCCTTTTCGAAAGACACGAAGCTAATTTGAAATTTTAAACCCTCAAAATGAACCTTTACTTCAGTTAATGCGAATGAGCCAAGGCATCCGGATGATGCTTTCAGGTGCTTATGTCAAAGCGAGTGTTCTGCGTGAATAGAAAAGATGAAACGTCACTCCTTCTACTGAGAAATATGTTTCATCATGTCATACATTTTTGCTAATGACAATGCTTTTAAATATAGAAGTTACCTGCGGTTAATAGTGATTATGAAAAGCAACTCTGAAAGTCGCTTCTTCTTGCGTCACCTTGAACATATCTTTATCATTATATAAGCTGCATTCCCCTTGAATTGTTTGGGCTTCAGTTTTGGATGCATTTTATGAGAATGTTCCAAGCAAAATGTTTAAAGTTAATGGGCCATGAAGCTAGAATAGCTTCCATGCACTGAATTTCACCACATAGGGTTGGTTTTATGGGGGAGAAAACAAATGACTAATATTGAACCTCACTTCACGTCGTAGCTCGAGGCATGTTCATGCAAACCTCACGTGGGCCTTCAGTGTGATGAAATACAGAACCTAACAAGACTGTAAAGATACTTTGTACAATTAGCAAACAACATAAGTATTTGAATCACTTATGGCTATTTAGAACACTCTATTAAGGTATTCATTTGCCTTTAGACACTGGTTGATGGGACATTTTTCCGAAAGGATTTCTCATGAGACACCAAACTCCGTCCCACCCATTTTGGTGACTGTGCACCTTCCTGCTATTGAAATTGTTTGCGGGATTCGACATTGTCATGTCATTATCATTGCTCTCTGCTTTGCTTCGTGGTTACTGTAAGAATTAAAGCTCGGGAGTAGTACACGGTAAATCATTTCAGCGCACTTTTTCCTCATTGAACATGCTTTATGACTTGAAAACCTTCGTTTCTTCAGTTTACTTGATGTCTTTTTTTTTTTTAATAGAAATGAATCCTATTATGTCAGAGACTGTCACTTTTAAGAAGAGTTGGACAAGCTTCTCTTGTAAATGGTGTTGGCCTGTATCTTTGTTTGCATTCAAATGATGTCATGCGAACACCTATCATGGTGTATTATTTGATAACTTAACTGCTCTTTAGTCTGATGTTTGGCTGTATTTTTTTGTGACCACTTTTTATTCCTGTGTCGCTTTGTGATTTCTGGCACCTGATGAATGTACGATTTGAGCGATTGACCATGATGTATGTAAACCTATTTTTCTACATTGCTGTTTTGGTACTGTTATCTTCAAAAGAATATGCATCTAATATTTTATTAAAAATTCTACTTCATCAAGAGTGTGGATCATTGAAACTCTACTTTTCTACTCCAGACGACGATACAATGCACTGTTTGGGAATTTTTGAGCAAAATAACATAACCGAGATAACTGCAGGGAAGACACACTACAGTGCAGTATATATTATTTGCACACTTCGCAGAGAACCAGAACACACAAATACAAGCGACATGAGAAATATCAGAATGATAGGGTGCGCAAACAGTGAATGCATTCCTGAGCTGACAGTTTTGGGGGACTCGGTGCCTTGCTCAAGGGAACCTAAACAGTAATAATTTCTCAAACAATTATTTGCATTGTCTTTTCCCTGCACCCAGATTCTTGTGACCTATGACCCTCTGATGCCCAAGTCCAAATAATCATTACAGTAATGTAATCATTTTTAAAATATATTTTAGCTGTTTACAATTCATTTGTAGACTGGGCTGATTAGAGGACAAATATTTTAGACAATCTCTCGGATGTCGATACAAAACACAAGTTAGAGGATTGTTTGACGATCATCATTGCTTTGAAAGTCTCATGTCTATAAATCTCAGTTTTACTAATTAAGTTATGTTCATATTGTGACCGTAATTATTTTTCAGTTATTTTAAATAGTTATAAAAACCTGAATACACACAAAAATCTGAATATACTTAATGCAGATTACAGGTACTGTACATTTCACTTGTAAGAAATGACAAATAGGAATGACTGACATCGTTCTGCTCTGAAGACATCGAATCACACTGAAGACAGCTCTGCAGCGACGTTGGGCTCTTCTCCGTGTGCTCATTTGACATTTTACTTCACACAAGCGAGCTGCCAACATCCAACCACAACCACAAACCTTCTCTTTCGAGCCCTTTGAGAGCAGGGTCTCCTTTCACCACATAATAATAAGCTGTGTGTGTGTGTGTGTGTGTGTGTGTGTGTGTGTGTGTGTG